AACGTAAGAGAGAACTATCACCCAATTGTGAAAAAGAGGATGTGGCAGGAGGGGTCTGATTTTCTCTTTGATAGCTCTGTAACAAAATAAAATTGAAGGCCATAAAAATTATGGTCTGTTTAAGCAATAATGATTTTATAGAGAGCATTTTACATTTAATTTCCTAAATTTTTGGGGGGTGATGGATGAAATAGGGATGATGACATGTTAAGACAAAATTTGTCATGCGTGTTACACTAGTGGAAATTCAGGATTTCTTATATATTTTCTTTTAGAATTAAGAACTTAAAACTTGTATACTATTAATATATGTATTATTAACTAAGATTTTATGCTATTCTAATTGGTATAACATAAACAAAAAGTAGTTTAATAAAATTTTGAATGTAAGACACTAAAGCCTTGTGTCATGCGCAGTAAAGGGTACCCATGCCGATAGGGTTAAATCATAGACTGGCACAATACACATTGACAGGTGTAGGGGTGGGAGCTTTGTTCAAGGCTGTGGCATGCACATGAAATTGCATGGCAGTACACATTAAATAATAACTCCTTGAGGTGCAGAAAGGTGAGTATTTTTCTGAAATACATTTTCAGCTAAGCATCAGTTTTAGCACCCTTTACTGCATCACTTGCTCTTTCATTTATGTCCTTCCCCTTCCTTTGGTTATCATAATATAATTCTTTTTTCCCTGTTTACCTCACAGACTATCCTATTACTGTGCCATGCCAAAGATTCACCTATAATTATAACCTCCTTAAATTTGTATCACCATCTTGTGTCCCTTTTGAGTTTTTTTCCTCTCCCCTTTGTTATTTGCACAAGCTAAAGAGTGAAATTTGTTACTTGCACAGAATAATTAAATTATCTACTTATAGCTCTAATACTGTTTCTAACTAACTAAAAGCTGAAAGTCACTTTTAACTACTGGATCTCTTGCATGTAAAACCTTAAGTTCTGTTTGTATTCCTGCTGCTGCTGTTTCCTACAGTTTCTACTTCTCTATCTGTTTTCCTTACTGTATTCAGGATAGCCTCCAATTTCTCCTCCAAGCTTCAAATTATATAAACTTGCACATCTTCACCATTAGCTTCTTTAAAATTGCATTCTCAAATAATACCCATTCTTTGCACTGGTCACACCCTACAAGCTGAAAGTGCTTCACACCTACAATATTCTTATCCATTATAGTCTGGGAATGACTGATCAACACTGAAATTACTATGAATACAAGTAACATAATATTTGAAAACTAAGTGTCTTGCATTATTTTACTGCTATTATATCTTTACATTACAGTAGTTAAGTTGATCCATAAAATATATAGCTTTGCTTTCAAACATCTTCACTCTCGCTATTGTATTAAACTTTCTCTGCTACCTTCAAGGCTTTATTATTAATATAAAGCTGTCATTTTTTGGGGATTTTAGTCATAACATCACAATTGATGCTGTAAAATACTTTAACTTCCAAATATTGGTTTTATTAAAATTTTATTGAAATGAAGAAAGCATTGTAAAATTTAAAGTATTTTTTATTAACTTTGAACATTATGGAAATTGAATAATAAATGTGGTCATGCAAGTTACCCTCCATCATCTTTCTGGTTTTTATGTTGATTTATACATGCTGTGTAATTTGTTTTACAGAAAGTGGGATTGCCCCTCTGAATTCAACAACATTTTGGACTGATTTGTTTATCAGACACTTTCTCTACCATGCTGAAGACCAAGTAAGAGATGATATGCTCTTTTTTGTACGAAAACAACCCAAAGAGAAAATGTTCTGTTTTATTCCACAGTTTGAGGTAAGTTTAGTATATCGTAACAATGGTTATTTAAATTTTGTTTAATATTTATTATAGCACTGACATGTTAAAATTGATATTGGAAGCTGAAATTATTTTTTTAAATTTTAACCATTCTAACCTTAATGATAGTATTTATAAACAAGTTAATAAGTGCTGGCTAATACTAAACATCTTATATACACTCACACTGTAGGCTCAGAAATAAGTATCATTGGCTGTGCATTTAGCCTAGTGTTTATTGTGACTGCAAATCCTTTGGTTTATAGCTCATTGCCACATTATGGGGCCATGGATGCTTTGTGAGGCAGTTATATCCCTTTTTTTTTTGGTCAGATACGAATAGCCCTATAGTTGGAGGTGGACTTTGTTGACTATCTATCTTCATTGCAATCTATCATTTCAAAATTAGGGATGGATATGTGTAGGTAGCCCTTTGTGTAGTTTTGCTATGATTCTTAAACAAACAATACAAATACCATTGAATGTACTTTTATAAATTCTAATTAAGTCTACTAAGGTGTCTGTACTTTGAACTTTCTTTCATTTTATCAAAAATACTAAAGCTTTTACATTGTAAAGATTTACATATTCTCATTATTCCTAAAATAGAATATATGCACCAATTAAAGTTTTTATTTAATTAATGTATGTTAGTGCTGTGCTAAGCAATTATTTTTGTAACCAAAAGTCCTATGAATTATTACGTTGAATATTCAGATACTTTCAAGATGATAATTCATCTTTTCACACAGTTTAGCTATTTTCTTTGTGTGTCTGCTTAAGAGATTTACATGCCTCTCACATAATTTCAGGTGTTTTAATGTGGGCTGCACTGGTGCTTGATTTTGTCACTGCGCAACAAAAGCCCTCCACTAATAGGAGGGCAACACAACTTCCATTTGCAGTAACTCACCCTAAGCACAAGCAGTCATGATAAAGTCATTTTTTTTCCTTGGCACTGTACAACACAGAAGTGTTGAAAATTGTTCATCCTCAATTTGCTGGATTTATACTGGTATATGAAACTTTAGTTTCACTTTACTAAATTGGAATTAGGTTCTTATTGATTTGTTTTGTTACTGTGAATTCACAAGTTACTCTGACTTCTACTTACTCCTGTGTGAGTGAAAAAAATTCACACAGGACCTAATTCACCTATGGCTTCAAGAAGATGGACAACATGATAGCCATTTTACATCAGGTTGTGGGGTCCATTGTGCATTCTGGTTCTTCTGTTCTTATCCATTTTTCTGGCATCCCTTCTCCTCAATTTGACAAAAAACAAGAGGAAGATGAATTTGATCATCTTTTCCCTCCTCCTGGTTTTGCTTTAGGTACATCACTACCAGTCAAAGTAATTTCAAGGCTTGTTCTCGCAGTTACATTCCATTCTTTCACCCATGACTTATGACAATTCACGTTCTTTACTTCACTACCCTAACTCCCATAATTATTTCACTTTTCCTCCCTCTCCTGACATTGGTTTTCATGCTGACTCCTTTATGGACTAACATTGTACCAGTAACTTTATGCCTGTCCCTCCTTTATCTGATTCTCATGTTTTGACTTATGGCCATTCTGGTTTTCTCTTTCTCGATTCCAAATCTTTGGAATTAGTTTTACCTGTTTAGGTGGTGGACTCCTTGTCATCTTTTTCACTTTCCAGTACTCAATTTTCCCATCTTCATGTTTTTCTTAATACCCTTCTTTGTTACTCCTCTTCCCTCCACTTTATATCTGATGTGCTTCAATGTACCATGGACAAATTTTCTGGGGAAGTTTATTCCCTTCTTTTCACAATTATGGCCCATTCCATTTCTTCTGCGTTGTTCCTAGTTACTTGGTTTCTCTGTCTTCCTACCTACATATTTTCTCTATGGTCTTCCTCATGCTCCCTTGCTTTGCCCAGACATATTTAGTGGTGTTTCACTTTCTTTGAAATCATAGACTAAAGCTGCCAAAAACCACTCCTCTCTGTTTTCTTTAGTTTCTTGCCTCTCTCAATCTTGCCCTTCCACTCCTGTTCTGGATCCATCTACCTTCCATTTTTCCATTCCATCTTCCAGGCCTTCCAACTCTACTTCTCCCCCTTATTCCATGCTAGTCAAACTGTACTACTTGTCTGCGACTGTCCTGTCAGTTTGGGACCATAAGGGCCTGTCTATCAGACCTCTGATCAGAGTTTACCTTGAAAAATGGGTTCTTCATGTACTCACCCACAGACTCTCTCCTTCTGATTCTGTCTGTCTTCAACATCTCAATAAAACAGTACTGGATCTTTTGGACAAACATGCTATTGAGAGGGTAGATGCCTCTTCTTATCATTTTTACTCTCATCTCTTTGTGGTTCCCAAGAAGACTGGGGACTGGTGCCCAGTAATCGACCTATCCTTTCCCAATCACTTTATAATTGTTTTCCACTTTCATCTTGGCAGCTATTACAAAACTTTGCCAATTCCTGTCCCAGTGTCCAATTGTACTTTTTTACCATCCCATTAGAC